AAGACCAAGGCTTATTTCTCATACACACACCACGACAGATTGTCGACTGCGTCAATTCTTCATTGCGTGTATGTGATTAGCAGTATTTCTCACTAGTGTTAAATATGGTTTATCAAATCAACCCACTGATAAGCGATTTTATTAGCTTAAGAAATGTGATGAAAATGTTAAAAATACTTAGTCATTTTAGGTAGCAAACTCTCCCCTTCACGCTGAATACATGCTCAACTAAAGCTAACTCCGCCTACATGTCCCTATATATTAGCTACTTAACAGAAAATCAAACCTTAGCTTCAAGAGAAAAAGCATACTTTTTTTTTTATTTCTCCTTGATAAAGCCAATATTTAATTACCCCAGAACCAGCTTGGCGATCGCTTTCAATCCAGGAAAAAACATTCTATAGTTTCCAGAGCAAGAAAAAGTTGCTAAAAACATAATCACTACGTTATGATTTGTGGGTAACAGTGTAAACTTAAATGATCTAAATATTTTTTTGCATTGTTAAATTTAATGACTTGCGATGGCTTCTTTAATAAGACTTTAACCTCAGAGTTTCTTGAAACTGCTGCATTTGCAGAGTATGATCCCACAGTATTAAATATAAGATTAAAAGACTTATAATTTTTAGAGACTAAGGACAGCGCCTTAAAGTTCCAAGAAGTAAATGACAAACATTAACCCTGTAATAATTTGTTTTGTGACGTTTTTAAGTTTTACATATATTTTATCATTTCTTTATGTTTTTAATATATCTAAAGCATCGGTCAGTTAGTGACCGTGTATAAATCCGGAGTCATTTCGTTATTTTTTATCTTCCATCGTGTCACCAACTCGACAACATATTTTCGCACTAATGAAGGATTTTCGTGGTTTTCTCCATGTGTAACGTGTATACGAGCCAGTTTCCCTTAGAAAATCCTCCACGAAGGCATCCCTCCCTTTAGGCAGATAGCCCTCGTGTGCTTTGCCATAACTGAATAATCCAATCGCACTAATGAAGGGCGGGGCTTTTCTCATTATTTCATATTTTCCGTGGTATCTTTCAGGAAGTACCACAAGACACTCTGGTAAAATCTCGCAGATGGCTATAGGCTCGAAATTCTAAATTTTTAGAAGCATAAGCTTGGCAACATAAGCTGTCTGTCACTTTGCTTTAGGTTCCTTACCAGTGCTAATTTAACTTGCTGTCATGATTTCTGTTAGTCGCTATTGCTCCGCGAGGACTTAGAGTTAAGCCAAAGTATAGTCAGGAGTGCTAATTTTTTACTTTAATTAATCCAGCTGTGAGTCATATGTTTTCAACGTGTTTAAAATGGTGGTGATTAAAGCTTTTCCCACAATAAGGGATAAAACTCGTTTAGAATCTGAATGAATATGAAGTATCAGAAGGCAGTGGAACATTTAACGTCTTTCGTTTTATGGAAAGCTGAAATCATAAAGTTGTACGGAAGGAAGCTGGATATGGAGGTAATACAATTTGTTGTGCCTACGTTGCTGCCACATATTCAAATTTTTGTGGTATTCCATTAATTTGGAAGAATGTTTAAAGCTTTTGGAGTAAAAGATAAAAGTTGTAGTTTGGCCGGAAATTGCTAGATATGGGGATAAATACAGTGGTAGAAGTGCAGATTTGGCCTTAATTATGAGACTTTGCCAAAGAGGGAATAGAATATTCGGAAGTAAACAATAAGAATGCTGAATGGCAGAATAATTGATTAGATAAGCAAGGTGGCGGTCACTAAGGAGATATGTGAAAAAAGACGTGGGTAAATTAATCGTAATAATCTTGCAGCAAACCTGAATTTATACATGAAAAAGTAAAATTTAAAATCAAAATGAAATATTGTAAAAGAAGCAAAAATATGAAATTAAATCAATAAATTTATAGATTTGCTTGTTATAAATAAACACAAACATTAATATTTTCAAAATTTATCTCAGAAATAAGACAAACCTTGAACTTTCTTTATAAACACAACAAAACTATCCTTTTTCAATGGATCCCTTAACATGTAGGTATTCACTTAAAAAGCATGTTTTTGAGGAATTAATGGATAATCTTAAATCTGACCGGGCAGAAAGAGCAACAGGCAAATCCTGGGCTAGCATTCAAGACACATGGAAAAAGTTTTGTCAAAAACTCTGTAAAGAGGCTGTGTCAAACTTCAGACTGCAAACAGGTCACGATTGCATGGCACATCATCGCAATAAAATTGACACCCTTCCATCTAGTATATGCCAAATTTGCAATTCGGGCATCATGAATGCAAAGCATCTTCTTATATGCCCAGAACTAGATAAAGAGTCGCCAGAAACGTGGTGAGATAAAGTAAATTATATTGGAATGCCAGAGCCTTCATGAACTCCTTGTAAAGACTACCTCACTTATGTTCCTTTCCTTGTTGTTTAAATTTTTAACTTTTTACCTTCTGTTCCCATGTTCATTTATTCTGATTCTTTATAAATGTTTGTTCCTTTTTATTATTTGTCATTCTTCATGTGTGATACTTGAGCTGTTTTATATGTTTGGATTGATATTTCCAATAAAGCCATTTGTAAAAACAACGTATTTTCAAAATTAAACTCTTAAGTATTTAAAAAATGAGCAAAATGGTAGTCAAATCTCATATTCAAAATTCAAATGTCAAAATTTGGCGTATATTACTCATTTTTGGGTCTAAATATTACTTTGTCTTATATAAATTCAGAAATATATCTGAGATTATTAAAGCACGACTTCCCACTTACGAGAGCGCGTTAAAATAATCTTTAATATTTCATCATTTTATTACTTGTTTTACTCTTACAAATGTTATTACACTGCTGGCCACCGTAAACGCAACACCTTGAAGGAAGCATGCAAATAACATGAAATTTACAACATGCATTAGCGGAGGTGAGATATGCAAATGTTTAGAATTTCAGTGCAGACGCCCATCATGCGCACGCCACTTCAAAGCGCTATTTAAGGTTTAAACAATTTCAAGTTCGGCAATTGTGTTTTTCTTGTGGTTTAAAAAAAAATCAGTTATGTCTTGTTGTAAACAGCGATAATCGTTTGATCAATATCCGAGTTCGACAGAGGAAGGATAGTGGCCTACCGAGAGTGTGGATTATCTTTCAGGGAAGTAGGTACTCGTGTTGGAGGAAACCAAACAACTGTAATGCGGATATGTGACCGTTGGATGCGGGAGAGTACGACGGACCGACGTATTCGATTGCATCCACCTCAGTGCACCACTTCACGTGATGACAGGAACATCGTGAGCATGGCACTGACGGATCGTTCAGTCACATCACGAACCATAGCACAGCACAACAGCACATTCAGTCTGCAACGCATCATCCAGTGTCAGCGCGTACCATTCGAAGCCGTTTACAGCAGAGTGGTCTGTCCGCAAGACGTCCATTGCTTCGTCTACCCTTGACTCAGAACCACAGACGTCTCCGCCGCCAATGGTGCGATGAAAGAAGGATGTGGACGGCAGAATGGAATGAAATTGTCTTTACTGACGAGTCACGCTTCTGTCTGCAACACCACGATGGTCGGATTCGAGTCTGGAGACATCGTGGAATGAGGATGCTGAACAGCTGCACACCGCCACACTGGTCCTGCAACGGGTATTATGGCATGGGGTGGTATTAGATATCACTCTCGCTTTCCTCTAATACGCATTGCCGGTACTTTAGCCAGCGCTACATCTCCGAGGTGTTGGAGCCAGTTGTCCTTCCTTACCTTTAGGGCTGGCCCACAGCCATATTTCAACAGGATAATGCGCGACCACAAGTGGGACGTATTGTCTAAGGGTTCTTTGTCAATCGCCAGATTGAATTGCTTCCCTGGCCAGCTCGCTCTCCGGATCTTTCGCCGATAGAAAACATGTGGTCCATGCTTCCTGAACGATTGACACAGATTACATCCCAAGCTGCCACACCAGATCAACTTTGGCAACGTGTGGAAGCTGCTTGGTTTGCTGTACCCCAAGAACACATCCAAAGTCGCTTTGAAAAAATGCCGAGGCGTGTGGCAGCGGTGATCTCCAACAATGGGGCGGCTACTCTGGCTACTGATTCTGGAAGGAACCATACTTCACAGATGTCTATAAATTTAATCATTTGATACTTGGTCAACATGTTAACTACTAAATAAATTTTGTTTTGCTATCTCTTGTCTTTCTTGGTCTTGCAATTTGGGTGGTCAGAAGTGTAAATAAAAATAAAGTCCAATAGAATTTTTATTATAGTATATTAAGGTTTTAAGACAATAGAACCGTGATCTCGTAAAGAAAGCAAAGGCAAAATATTGTTTTTTAGCATGTGGCTAAGTTAAACATAGAAATTGAATTAATAATGAATTAATCATTTATTAATTCAATTTCTATGCTATTCTATTCATTTATTAATTCAATTTCTATGCTATTTATTAATTCAATTTCATCATTTATTAATTCAATTTCTATGCTAAGTTAAACATAGAAATTGAATTAAATGATGTAACGAAAATTAATTGCTCGAATACCGGTTTCTTCAGTTAAATAGCGGTCAGTTAAATATATATATATATATATATATATTTCCGGTGTCTGTATTAGAACTAACCAGAATTATATGTCATATGGCAATTTTTGTAGACTAACCATAATTAAGTGAGAAGTTAAGTGGCTATTTTGTTTCAAATCATATGTCAAGTCAAAAGGCCCGAAACCATATTAACAAACTGAGACTAATATATATTTAAATAAAATTGCAACAGTTACTTTAATTTTGTTCTGCGTTAGTTGCTGGTTAATTAATAATTGATTTGTATGCATAAATCTCACACAAAATTCAAATAAATAAAGTTGAAGATCTAAGCAAACAAAAATTAAGCTCGAAACGTAAGAATTTATTTTAAACAAATTTGAGATATAGCTTTAAAAATAAAATAATTTGTTATTTTAAAATTTGTTCGCATACAGGCATTCATTGTTTGTTTGGTAAGAAAAAGGAATAAACATTGTTCAAAAGTGAAAAATCTTCAAAAGCTTTATTTTTTAGCTGGAGATGGCTTGTACATCTGAACAATCCTTTTGTGTGTTTTAAAGATGAACACGGAAGACCCAATACCAGGGATTCTTGCAAGATTCTTATTTTGGGACTGGCAGTCATCTATTTTTGTCAAATTTACTAAAATTTGCAATAAAGTTTCATTTAAATTTATAAATGGTATGGAAATAATTCAAAAGAGTTGATCCCTTCTTGAATAAACAAGCTTTATTTTTTAGGGAAAGGAGTTGAAAGAGCATATCTTCCGAAAAAGTAATTAAAAAATGTTTACATGTTGTCTTTCCACAAAACCTCGAGATCAGTGCCCTTCAATTTCTCAGCAAATTTCTTGTCCATGCGTTTGCTCTGTTCATCAGAGAAATAGTTTTTCCAACCTCCAACGATCCCTTTTCGTACAAAATGAGCATTATCATCTTTTTTGGTGTAGTCTCGTTCTTGTTTTTGAGTAGGTGAAGCACCGAACATATTTTTAAACTCCCTTGGTAGTGTAGAATTCATTATTTCTTCCTTAGACATTGATCGTAATTCTTCGATACCTTTATTTACAACCTTCTTCATGTAATCAAAGCTACTAAATTTCACAATATTATTCAATTTTTCAGGATCATTTCGTAGTGGCTCTGCATATGCAGCATCATCGATAAACGATGCCATTTTAAAAATTGCACTCCTTATATCCTTCTTCATTTCCTCATAAGTTAAGAAAAGTACGTTGGGATCATTCCTGTAAAAGCAGATAGTAAATGATGCAGATTATGTTAAAGAGTCAAAAGTTTTTTCTAGACTTTATGAAAAAGTTATACTATCAAAGATACATTACCATTATTTAAAAAGAAAAACATTAGTACAAGCAAACGATTTTAAAACTAAAATCGCTGCATATTTCCTTCATTATACGAACTGCCCGAGCAACTTCGATTTTTGCTTCTTGCGACAGTTGAGACTGATAGAATACTGATATTTAAAACAACAATACAGTATTAGATATTAAGGTAATGTAAATAAATATATTAAGGTATTTCTCAGTAATTGTCTAAAATAATACAACCATTTTCAAAATTTTTGAAATAAAGAAGATAGTTTTGCAAATTCATATACGTCTTTTTCCCTACCACACACACACACACACAAAGTACAATTAAGATAATAGAATAAAAAGATTGCAATCATATGTAATGTGTGGTTATAAACGAAAGAAAGGTTAATTTAACTACATCAATTGTCAAACCGTACAAGCAATAAAACTAAGAACTGGATTGGACTGTCTAATTTAGTTAACCCCACGTAAACTGTCTGCACGTCAACTTTCACTGAGGGCGGCTGGGACTAAAATCTGAGAGACCCGTACCGTCACCAGCGGAACCTGGAAATTGCTAGCTAGAATTCAGCTACCTAGTACTTCAACACATATTCCAGTATATACACATCATTCCAGTACATATACTGAAATTCAGCTGATATTCTAAAAAGGTTTATGAAGTTCTTGCTTACATGCTTAAATGTTATACTTTAATTAATATCTCACTAGATTTTGTTAGAGATTTAAATGCTTTAGAATTAATGAATAACTGCTGTGTTATTTGTTGATATATGTATCAGCGTAATTAATTTCAGGTTTTATAGAATTCAAAATAAGTTTATAATAACAATATCAGACACAGAAGTTTAATCAGTATCAAACATGCAGCAATAAAGCGTAATTTTTGATCGAGAAATACATATTTTCTAAATGCACAAATTATCTTTTTCAATTAAAAAATCATAAGTTTAAAAAATTGATTGCGCATCCCTTAGAATGTTTTGATGGGATGAAATTCTGTTAGTGAAGAGCATGTAGCCATTTTCAGCACAGCGAATCCGATTTCGGAAAAGTAAACAAATACCCTTTTTCAGTATTTGGATAATTTACTCTGCAGTTAATAACACAAGTATAAACCATTCTTCAACAGATTATTAACAAATGAAATATTTTAAAATCTTATATAAACTTTTATGCAATATACTGTGATAAGATCGCATAAAGGAAGAAGAAACTGAAAATTAGTATGGACAAGGATGTCTGGAGAGCACAAGATGAATATCATTATTATTTAACTTCCGAATACGTTTTCAATAGTTGTTAAGTTGAATTAATTGTTTTAAAAATAATATTAATAAGTCGGCATTGTTTCAAACGCAGGCTCGAGAGCCACGTATTGCTCTCGCACGTAAAATGTAGAGATTTTGAATTTTTTTGAACAAAAAATGAGGAAGATATAGGTTTTTCTCTTGCTGATTGTATACAGCCTTTCATTTCATACTTTTTCACAGGTGTTCGCAATATTTTGTCTTCCGTCTGTATATGTGTGTGTATGTGTATAGGTTTACACCTTTAATTCTACTTTCCTGTTTATACCCACCCCCTTAACTTGATTTAAAAGTCTGGATTTATTTCCGCAGGCGTTGGTCGCAGTCATGTACTTCCAATTACAGAAGTTTTTTAAGTGTCGAAAACAGTAATATTTTGAAAATGTCAAATTAAAAAAATTGGAGAAATAATGAAATCTAACTTTTCGTGCGATCTCCTGATTCCTATACTATTATATTTTGTTAAATTTTATACTCGTTATAAAAAAGAAAATTATAAGAAGTTTAAAGTTTATTTGACAGTAGAAAAAATTGCCCGGGATATTTAATTTCAAAATTTGCAGTTTTTTATGTCATTTTCAAGTTGCCTTGAGGAATCAGTTAATTAAGTTAGAATAATTCGAAGAGGAAAGTTTAAATGAAGTGCAGGAAAAAGTGTGTATATTTTAATAGACTGTACGAAGAAGTCATGTGGTAACCACATCAGATTTTTTTAAATTCAGTGCCCTTTTAATTTGGTTGCCATATTCACTCTTTGAATGTTTGTATATAAACTCAATATTTAACTGTAATATAAGATTTATCTTTTCCTGCCTTTATTTTAGGCCCGAAAGATCAACTATATATAACTATTTGGAAAGAAATTTTGATACTTAGTCATGACTTGCGCCATTATAAAATAATTTTTATATAGTTACCTGTGAGCATACCAACTAAGAACATGATCGAAGTAATCACCATAATCTACTTTTCCAGCAATGAAGAGCTCAAAAAACTCATCAAACGTTCCGTTGAACTCATGTTCGGGAACATTTCTCATATGGTGGAAATAAGAAACACAGCAGTCTTTTGGGTTTCTTGTCAGATAGATATACTTGGCTTTATCCGATTTTGGAATTAGATGATAAGGAAGATGGAACTTTATAGCATTAGGTCTTGGCATCTCTTCTGCAGCGCTAGCACCTGTAAAGTTCATTTGGATACAATAATAAAAGACAGGTAAGTAGATAATCTAATATATTTAAATACAATATGCAACAGTTTGTGAGTCAAATACAATTTTAAATTGGTTTTAAAGATTTAAAATGGTAATCAACGGCTTTATTACAGATAATAAATTAAAAATTTCAATTCGTATTATTCACTGAATTATCTATATATTTAAAGAAGAAAGTCTGCGTGCTTGTTCGCTAATAACTCATTCACTACTATAGCTATCGTCCTCATTTTTTCGAGTGGCAACAGTCTCGCATGCTGGATATAAAAATTTACTTTATTTCAAAAAGCTTTGCCACTGCTCGCTTTCAAATCGTAGAGTTTGTTAATAAAAAATTCCTAAACTTTACGATGTAAATAAAAATAGCATTGCCAAATATTAAATACATTATTCCCGATTCCTAAAACTCATGGGAAGCCATTTCGACTGTTTCTATCTTCGTATGACTTTAATCAGCCGATATATTAATTAAAAACTCTGAAAACACTAATTTTCGTACTTTTTTTTCCCGAGTGACAACAGTCTCGCGCGTTGGAGATAAAAATGCTTTATTACGAAAAGAGTTGCTACAGCTCGCTTTCAAATCGTAGAGGTGGTTAATTAGAAAGTTCTAAGTTTTACAAAATCTACACATACAAAGAATAGTGTCTGTGTGTTTGTTTGTTTGTTCGTTTGTTTGTTCTAATTAACACATGTATTTCTCAAGAATCAGTTTCCAAAACATATTTTTCTCCCGTCTAGTGTGAAATTCAGTCTAATAACCAAGTAACCTGATTTTAATAAAATACGCAGTTCTTGTTTAAATGATGTTCCTCTGACATTGATAGACCTGCTTTATATATTAATATTTAGTTTTGAATTATTAACAGAAGAAAGTCATATAAAAGTGCTAGATAGTATTCCGTCTTATTTGCAAAAAATCATTTTTACAACTGCTGAAGCAACGAATAACCTGCATAAAAATGAGAATCTGTGTAGCAGTACACTAAATTCTCCCTTTGAATTTCATTTGCAAATTACCATGAAAATCTGATCTACCCCAGAAATTGCCGAATTTATTTAAAATTTACTTTTATTTGAAAAACAGAAAGCTCATTTATTTCTTTTTCCTTCATTATGAAAGATTACCAAAACACAAAATTTCATTCATTTTGCTGCGAAAGATAGCAGTTCGGATGAAATATTATAGCCAGAAAAGCGTAAAAGAAGTAAATATAGAATAAAAAAATTACACTCGTCCTTGAATTAAATTTTTCAAAGCTAGTTTACTATGAGTTTTGATTGGGAGTCGATTTGTAACTGTATAAAATTTTAATTTGAGCTATACAAGCAATTAAATTTTTATTTAGACCAGATATTTTGGTGGCTGATTTTCTCGGCGACTGCGAAAAAAAATAAGAAGAGCAGCTAAAGATTTGTAACAATTAGAGTGGCTGATAGTTATTACCTACATCAACCCATTATGCGAGTACTTACATCCATTGATCAGGCCCACCGAACTATGTTGGCAGCTGGAACTGCGCTTGTCGAGGGACGTAGACTAATTCAGTTTCTTATTTCTTAGTTAAGGATCTCAGAGCTTCCATAAATTGTACATGCCTTTCGTTATTAATTAATTCGTAGAGAGCTCTGTTCGTTTCCATCCTTTTCTTTTAAAGTGGGGGAAGATTTAAATGTGAATTTATTCTGAGTGTCGTAACTATTGTAAGGGGTTACCATTAAATATTTCGGTTTCAATTCTTTATTAGTCCAAAGGGGCAATTTGCCCAGAAGGACTATGAATTTCGTTTTGTCTTCTCACTACAACATTCCCTCTATGCCCAGATTAGCATGAAAAGTTCATGCTGTGTTCCCGCTGTCAGAACTTCGTATGCCATAGAAAAGCGCTTCAAGTAGTAGAATGAGTGCAGCACAGTAAATCTAGGAGGGGAGCACAGAAGATGGCGGTCGTTTTGCCATTTTACGTTAATTTACTACAAACGTCGTTTCGGTTTTCAGTTGTTGCCCCCAAATATAGGAGCTCTGTATTATATTTAATAATTATATAAAGAATGAAGAATCTGCTTAAAGTTTTCTGGCATTGTGATAAAACAACGATACCTAGAGCCATCAAATTTTCAATAACGTCCGTTTCCACCCGAATATGGGCATGTGGAAACCCTAAATTGGAATTTGTTTTATTACCTTTTTCATATTTTGTAAAACCTTTTTGATTAACAAACTCAAGGATTTCAAAGCAAACGATGGCAACGTTGTACAGAAAAATCATTTTTGTCTCCAGCGCGCGGGCATGTGTGTCGGAAATTCTAAAGACATGCTCATTTAAAAATTATTTTGCGATATTGCTGTTGAACTGAATGGTTATGGTTTAAGTGCGAAGAACATGATATTTTATAGATAAAGGTAACACACAAAACGCTAAAAAAACGCCCCTTTGGGCGTAAAGTAAAATCTGAAAGCTTTCAGATTTTTATTTACTAGCCCAAAAGGCGTTAGTCCAGAAGGGCTGTTAATTTCATTTTGGCATTTTGCGTTGAAACCTTTAAATGTTAGTTCACTGTTGTCACCAAATATTACAGCCCTGTATTATATTTAATTAATCATATCACAGTGATTTAGTGGAAGGCTGAAATTTGCTGAAAAATATGTTTTAAAATCGTAATTTCTTGTTACTTTATCAGACAATAATGGAGTTACTGAAGTTAATTCTGCTTCAGCGAAAATATCATTACAAGCTCATTTCACTTTTACAAATTACGCTTTTTAACGCAGAGAGTTTTAACTTATTTCTGAAAATAAGATGCACGCAAACTCAAATATGTTCAGCTTTGCAATTCGGATAAGGTGAAAAATAAGTAAATTTAATAAAAGGGACTAACTATATATCATGGAAAGACCTAGCATAGAAAAGCGCTTTATTTACTACTATTTGTCTAATGATTGAATTATTTTATTATTAAGCTTTTTTGAATTCTTTTCAGATATAATTCGTTTGATAAAGTGCTAGTGAGAATCGTTTGAGAGTTAGAATTTAAAGCTTATGACTAGCTTCTACGCCGCCCAGACGGGTTGGTGTTGGTGTATTTAATTATGGCAAAGCACACTAGGGCTATCTGCCTAAGGGGAGGGATGCACTAATTTCGTGGAGGACTTTCTAAGGGAAACTGGCTCGTATACACGTTACACATGGGGAAAACCACGAAAACGCCCATGTAGCCAGCCCGTTCGCGGGATTCGAACCTCGGACCGAACTACCAGTGTTCAGCGACTTTACCGCTCGGCCGCTGGTGGGCCCTCCGCCCAGACGGGAAAAAAGTAGTGATTCTGACTGCCGCACCAAAGGGCCCGGGTGCGAATCCATAGAGCCCAGGTGCGGAGAAGACATGGATGTAAATTGTCTGCCCCTTCACAGGAGGTAATAGTGGCCGCCTGTGCATCTGTAATAAAATGATCGCAGCTTCTGCCTTAGCAGTGGCCAAAGCTTAAAATGGCTAGTTCCCAAAATAAAAGAAACATTATTTTAACTTCTGTTAGATAAATTGAATAATGCAATGGTGTAGTAAAAAACTAAAATATATGAATGATTTTTTAAAAATTTAAATATGGGGCTTTTTATAGGAAAAGAACTTATTTACGTTAGCTAATAATTCCTCTTCAATGAATTTAAATGCGCTTACGTTTTATGAATGAAGTGCATACAGTTGTTTAATTTGCTACTGGAAATAAAACGCTTACAAAACATAAATGTTGATCATATTATTAGGTTGCCGTAAATAATATATAAATTTAAGGGAGTTATTACCTGCCATAGCAAGAAAAGGACTTGCAGACCACAACTCTATTTCTGATTCTAAAGGCTTTCCCATTCTAAAGATAAGAACAAGAATATGTTGCGCCCATGTTGTTCCACATTTAGGGTAGGTCACAATAAACACATCATCATCTCGAGGCTTGTAGGCAAGGGCGGAACGGAATGTTTCTGCATTAAAAAACGCCGGAATCTGGAAGCCATCAATAAACTGCGATACCGTTGAAGTTACAGGAACTTTAGACATTGTGATTGCTGAAAGGAGATGGTAGAAAATTCATAGTAATTCAAAATGATTCATCCAATATCAAATGACTATGTGTTTTATGTTTACAATCAAAGAGTAATTAAACACCAATAATTAGTCATCAAGCAAATAAGAAACTGTTCAAGAATTTTCCCTCATTTTATAAATGATCTAAATCAGAGCTTCTCCAAACTGTTCCACATAGCGATCCTTTTTATCCAAGCAAATATTTTTGCGGTCCTGAGTATAGACATATAAACTACGAATTAAAGTACGAATAGGAATTAAAACATTTCATGATAATAAATCACAAAGAAAATTTATTTGAAAGCAGTTCTTCGACATGCATATGAATTAAATTTAATCAAGCAGTCTAGATGAAGCCGAACATTTAAGATAATGAGCTGAGTGTGCTTGTGTACTTTATACAAAGATTTAAATCTTGAGTAAATATTTAACACCGCAGTACGGAGAGTTTTTTCTAACTTCTTTGCAGAGGTGGCCGACTCTTTATCTTGTATAAATCTTATTATTAAAAATGCCGCTTTACATAAATATGTAGTACAAAATGCTAGACGTATGTTAAGGAAAATTTCAGAAATTCAGTGCTAATCCATAGCCAAAACTCATTTAAGGATTTTGCGAAAAACTCAAGTTTCAAATTTGTGTTGTTAGAAGACTTGAGAATTTCTTATTGAGCATTTAAATGTTTGATGTTAATCATATCAGTTGAGAGTGGTATACGAACAAAGTTTTCTTTTCTAACACCCACATTTGAAGGACAGTATTTTTGAGATTGTATTTCCAGATTTTTTAAATACCCAGTTATAACTTTTCGAGTTAAATCTTTGGAAAAGTGAGTTGGAATTTTTAAATCTTCTGCAGCTGTAAACATTTCTATAGATTCATTTTTTACTTTGTTTTTCCATATGCTCAAGTTTTTAATAAAACTTTCGGTTTTATATTGTAACGTAAATATGTTGCATGTATTTATTTAAAGTAATACTCTTGAATTATTCAGTTTTTTAGCAAAATGTGATAAATAACATATTTTTAAAAGTCAATGATAAAAACAACAATATCAGATTTCTGTTCAATTAAAAATATATATGGATCATTTAAGCTCTTAACCAGTTTTTTATGTTACTATTCTCTCTTATCAATCACACTTCTATTTCCCTGCCGGAATGTGAATTTGTGGCTCGCGCGATATTCAAATTAGGTAGAAAGAAAAGTCTATTTAGGAAGGTTTTAGAAGGTAGAATTAGTGCATGTTTTGGCTGCTTGAAGGATACGTTGCTAAATTTGATTCTCTTGTGATTAGCATTTTGCGGTGTTGAGTTATTCTTGCCATTAGGCTTGTTTACGCCGACCTTAGTCAAGAGCCAGTTTCCCCGTTATTTCAGTCGTAAAGCCGTGAGGTTAACTTATTTTCATTAATTTTAGTTGATCCATTATTTTAATTTAAGCCATAATAGTTCGCTTATGTAAGCATGAATTAGTGCTGAATGTTAAACTTTATTTAAACTAATAAAAGTGTCTTTTATACCTTTGCTGTCTCTCTGAAACGTTCAATAAAGTTCTGACAGCGACGTGGCCGGCGCACACTAAGATCTTTGCATATGCAGACGACGTGGCACTGATTGTAAGGGGAAACACACGGGAAGAGTTACAGCGAAACTGCAACGAAGTGTGTGAAATTTTCCACGAACACTGTCAAAAACTGAACTAACAATAGCTGAGCATAAGTCCAAAGTCTTACTAATTCCGAAAAAGGGAGGCTCACTAGTAAGACGCAGTATCATCAAAATTAATAACCAACGTCTGAAGATAGTAAATCAGCTGAAGTACCTAGGAGTTACGTTCGATCATAAAATGACAAGGATCCCCCACATTCAGGATGTAAAAATATGGACAATAGCAATTGCTAAGCAGATGAGACTCTTCTACGGATATAAATGGGGCCTTAACCCGCATATCCAAAAAGTACTCTATACAACCGTAGTTGAGAAAATAGTAACATATGCCGCCGCAGTATGGGTACATCCAATGCAAGGCAGGAAAGTCAGGCATCTCAACACTATCCAAAGACCCTTTGTATTGGGAATCACCAGAGCATATCGAACCACTTCAACTGATGCTATTAACGTGCTCGCCGGCTTTCTTCCTCTGCACATTCGTGCCGAAGAAGAGGCAGCACGTCAACAACACGTCCTACAGCTCAAAAAGAGCAGTCACTTTCGATGAAGAGAATTTCTATCCTGAAGACTATGAAACGAATATCTGAACACTCAACATCCACCCAGCAGTGAAAAGCAAGGGAGTTTTTATCACTGTTAATCCTACTACAACCCATCGTCCCGGAGAATTTATCATCTACATGGACGGGTCAAGAATAGATGAAAAGGTAGGATGCGCATATGTAGCCATGACGCACGACACAGTAAACGAGCAATGGAAAGGTCAACTCAGACAGAATAACAGCGTCTTCCAGAGCGAAGCGGTAGCAATCGCAAAATCAATTCGCTACCTGCACACACATCAGCACAGCCATGCTACCATCAAAACTGATAGTCTATCATCACTGTATGCCATATGGAATCCGGACCACCCATCAGACATCATACAGGGCATACAAAAGGACCTCAGGGAAAACTTTCCTTATCGCACGAAACTAGAATGGATGAAAGCTCATGCCGGCCACCAAGGCAATGAGCTAGCTGATCAACACACCAAGGAGGCAACGACAGATCCATCCAGTACGCAAATAACCATTCCATGGCCCCACTCGTTTCTCAAAAAGACACTTCACTTAAAGGCCACCGGTTTATGACAAAGTGAATGGGACACCAGCGCCACCGGGAGGCGCACGCACTACTTTATCAGCTACGTGGATCCCATCAGAAACACTGCCAACACACAGCTGGTAAGATTTATATCCGGACATGGACCTTTTCCGGAATACTTCCACAAACGCGGCATCAGCCACACAAACCAATGTGCGTGCAGAGAAAATGGCTCACCAGAGCACTATCTTACGTCTTGCCCACTTACAGAAGGGCTGCACATCAATCTACCTCAGACGAACCGTCAAACCTTTTGTAAGTACATGATAAAACAGCGGCACCTAATTTAAAAGATAGTATAACTGATGGACAAACTGTCTGACTTAAACACAGATCTGTGCCATCCTTAGATTTTTCACTCTACCTGTAATATAACTGCACGTAATATCTACACCAAGTGTATCAGCATTTACCACGAGTACGATGGTAATATAAAGTAAATATAATAAAATGCCAGCTGCACCATGCAATGTACTGTAATACGTAAAATAGGATAATGACCTTAATAAGTAATGAACATAATAAGCATTATGAACTTAATAAGTAAATGCATACGAAAGCAGTGTATATCTTATAGGTATCTTAATTATGAAAGTAACATAAATTCAGTGTAACGCAAAAGTAATAATAATGTGCACAGTATGTATTATAATATTAACGCACATAGAGAATTAGTAAAGAAAGTGAATAGCATGTGCACTCCTTAAGCGTTTATGTTTTAGACGTAAAGATAATGCAATGTAAATGTATCATAAGGTAAATGCAATATAAATGTAAGTAGTACCATTTAATGAACATAATAAATAAATGCATACGAAAGCTGTGTATATGTTGCAAAAGTCTTAATTATGAAAGTAACATAATTTCAATGAAACACAAATGTAATATAAATGCAAACAACACCAAGTAATGAAATTGTGAAGGTGGTGCACATAGAGAGAGCACCAGTAAATAATGTGCATAGCATGTACCCTCTTTAAGTATCTTAATTATGAAAGTTCTAGATGTGAAGATAATGCAATGCAAATGTAACATAAGGTAAATGCAATATAAATGTAAATAGCACCATGTAATGAACTCAAGAAGAAAATGCAAACGAAAGCAGTGTATATGTTATAAATGTCTTAATTATGGAAGTAACATAATTTCAATGTAATGCAAATGTAATGTTAATGTAAACAACACCATGTAATGAATTTGTAAAATTGGTGCACTAAACAATGTGCATAGCATGTGCCCTCGTTATGTGTTTATATTTTAGATGTGGAGATAATGCAAAGTAAATGTATCATAAGATAAATGCAATATAAATGTAAATAACACCACTTAATGAACTTGTAGGGTTTATATTTATTTTAACTAACATTTATTTTAAGTTTAAACTACCTTTCCTGTCAAGCCTCACTTTCCCCTGGAACTGCCAATGCCAGAGTATGTAAATTTTAGTAGAACGCGCAAGGATTCAAATTATCAGCGGAAGTATTCTGAGTTTAAATAGAAAGGAAACGAGTTCAAGGTGTGCTGTTCTTACTTCACGAGCGCGGAGGTAGTTGGCCAGAAATTGAAAAACCCCGCGTTTCGGCCTGTGTGCTGGCCTGGAAGAATTGTTAATCGCTCAAGTGATCTTCAAGTTTGCTGAATTAGCAGCGGTATTGTAAAACGCGGTGAGGTTAGTTACTTTTAGAGAGCCTCGTAGTTAGAGTCTTGTCTTTAGTTTCTTTTCAGGTTATTATTTTTATTTGACCGCCGAGTTGGCGCAGTTTGTGAGCGTCTAGAGCACGCACTTGTAATTTATTACGTTGAATAAAAAGGGACTTAAACCCTTAACAAGACTCTGTCTTTTATACAGTTTCAACAGTCACCTCTTGGTTGCGTGCAAGTTGGAGGCGCGCAACGCTACATTGGCGCCCGAACACTTATCGAACTGAAATGGCCGAAAATTGGATGGAAGCCGCTGGAAAACACCAAGAAATGACAAGCCAATTGGAAGGATTTGGATACTTGGTCCAGACTTTGAGAGCGTCAATCAAGCCAAACGTCCATTTCGACGGAAAAAAATTCGGTGGCGGTATTTCTAGAAGGTCTAGAAAACCACTTTCAGCTCTACCCTGTTCCTGAAAGACAAAAAGTTGCCATCGCCACATCCGCACTAAGAGGACAGG